TGCTAAAATAAGCAGTACATTTAGTATTGTGGTTATCACTATGTTGTTAATTTTTAGGTCAACTGTTTTGATTTTTATACGCAATTATTGTTGAGTGGGGTCTCCCGTAGAAGAGTAGGTGCGTTGGTAGGTTTGTTTCGAAAAATATACTTGCTTTTGAAAATATTTGGGTTCGCCACGGCACCGTACACAATGGACACGTTTCTATATTGCACATCCATATCAAAACAGTAACAACTCAAAAAGTTGGTTTTTTAGTTAAACGTATTCTACAAACGAAATTACATAAATCAACAAAACAGGTTTATCTTTATCTTTAATATTCTTCGTAAGATTGCAATGTAAGTACATTTTATTGAATGAATGATACGAAGGTACCACCGACAATACCGACATTCCTGAAAAAAGCGTTTTTTTGAGTTGTTACTGTTTTGATATAGGTGTGCGATATATGTATATTTTAGTTGAAACGCAAGAAATATTCATATATTTTGAGACATCGATTACAATTTTATTGAGGGACGTACAATACGGTTCATGTAAATGTTCAAATGCAGCGACGTTAAAAGTCTTCGGCCAAGTTCCCGGTAAATACTAAATTTGAAATCATATAATTTGATCAGTTGTTTTATGTCATTATTTATGGGCCATGAAATGAGTGACATGAAAAAAAAAAGTTCAAATTAAATTTCAATTACTGTTTGTGATGGATTCACTCAAATTTAATACACTATAAGATGAGTTTTAATTTAGTTAACATTAAAATTATACCATAATATTGTTGAACATTTTATACTGCAGGTCGGTAATTCGATTCGGGAAAGTAATATAATGAGTATTTTGAAAACATAATACCCGTGGGCTTTTAAATCATTGCTGCGTTGATATTATAGTATAAAATGTACCCAATCGGACTGCAAAAATCTCTAGTTTAAGTTTATACAAAAATTACCATCGACTATAAATTATGGTTTTGCAACGCCGAATGGGTTGTTTTTTGTTCTAGGTCAAACTTACATTCGTCCAAAGACGAAAAACTAATATTTAAGTGTAAATAAAAGAAAACAATCAAACAATTACGGTCTATCTTAATTCGTGTTAATCCGGGTTGTCGCAGTTTTTTGCTTTCGACAAGACAGATTGTTATGTGAAAAGATGAATCAACTGATTTCATGTTCTCGTACTAGTTCATGCTAGATTTCGCTCGGTGGCAAAATAATTTGAAAATAATTTTCTCCTAATAGAACGACGCAAGTGGCGGTACGATTTTATAGCGTTTCGCTTTGTTTCGCTACTTATAAAACATTATACTCATACGTGTGGACGTGACATGGAAATACGATTTAATCCGAGTTCGCCAAGAAACATATAGTATTATAATTATGCGTAGAAACTTTCATAGACCAATCGCACGCCGATTAGGAATAAATAATATAAAGGTGAGTGTACCATTCGCGCGCGCGATCGGCTCGTGACGCCGTCGATTCACCCGAATGTTGGTACTTCGGCGGACATCAGTAGAGGTATGATACATTAAGATACGCCACTAGTGTGCATGGTAAACCGTTCGATTACGGCGAATCAACCTAATGAGTCCACTATTCTGCACTTAATTTAAATAAATACTGATTTGATACATTTTCGTAAACTGAAATTTAAACAGTGCAGTGAAAATTTTAAAAGGCTAAATAGACCTCATTGAATATTACGAAAACAAACCAAACGGAACCAAATTACCTAAAATATTATATTTTTGAAATCTGATGCAAAGGATGGGTTGGCTACAGAAACGATTTACATGAATTGAATTGCTACAGTTCATTCAAATTAAAAATCCAAGTTGTTTATAAATGCCTATTACGTAATAATCACTCGTTGAGCACAGAGTAAATCACATTATACGTACACAATACACACAATTATCACACAATACATTCATACGTATTGAAGTTTTCATTAATTTTTTTCGAAGGTTTAGTACCGCCAAAGGTTTTTTATGATTTAAGAAAATATATTTTACTAGGGTTTTACTAAAAATGTATCAAGGCCAACTGTCATAATATAATAGTAAGCCTTGATACATTTTTATATTATTTTCGTTTCCAATACAGCCACGAAAAAATAAATAACTATAATAAAGTTACATTTATTTTTGGCAATTTTTTCCGAATGTTTAAAATCCTTTTTCTAAATGTTGCTTAAAAAACCTGACCTACTAAATATGTCTTCTTTAAATAGTACAAATTAAAATGAAAAATTTGTAAATTAAATATTGTGCACGTTGTTACATAAAAAGAAACTGATTGAACGGCGAACAACCGACTTGGAGTAGTGTTCTTTCCGAACGTTAAAATATAAGCAAACACGAAGTCTATTACATTGCGGCATTACATTACACTTAAATGCTTCAGTGTGCACTCGCCTTAATGTGCGGCCGTCGGTTTTTCGTCCTGCGAGTCCTGATGTTAATCATTTATTGCAACAAGAGTTTTCCGTGAGAAACGGACACTACAAAGTCACCCGCGGTATGCGACATGCTAATGCGGGTGCGATCACAAAAACCTAATGAGCAAAAAACAAAAAAAATACCTATACTGCAGCGCAACACGTATAGGTAGGTATTTTATGGTATGATGCAAATGCGATCACCTATTATACACCGATTACCATCGGAATAATGATATATATTATATATTATTATACTAGTACTGAGTAAAAATTTAAAAAGATACCGTATTCATAATGTTACGAACTAACTAATAATATACTATCTATATTGAAAATGGTATTTTTGAATATATTATTTTGCGTTATTAGAAGCAACTGACCGCATATGATTTGTTTTTAAATATTTAATCTGTTGGTACTGAAATAAATATAAATGCCATATCAAAATGTCCGTAAATTAAAAGAGTAACGGATGGTTGAGCAATACGCGTAATAGGTAACGGTAAACAGTATCGGTACTTTTTTTTCTTGTGCTTTAATTTTGTATCGTAAGACCACGTCTAAACGATTTGGTGGATTGAAATTAATACTGATTATACCCACCCTCTCTTTTCAAATAACAGTTAAATTTTCATTGTAGCTTTGAGGGAGACCGGGTTAAGTTCGCTACAATCGCATATTATAATATTAAACACGGATGTAAAAAGAAAAAAAAAGTTTTCACGTACGTTTTTTTTTTCACCCCAACCAAAGGGCGAGGTTAACTTTAATTTTTTTTTTCTGCTGGTTACTGGATTTATGTACAAAATAAATGATTTTTATCATAATACACCAACGCGTTAGGAAACACGCACACCCATTATCGGGATTATGAACAGCGATGGCCTACATTCACAAGACAGAACAATTAAAAATAGTGTAAATTCTCAATATTTAATAATATGCTAACAGTTTACGTTGAAATTCGAACGAAAATTGTAGGCATTATATTATAACAAACTTCAGTATCTATTCGAAATTCGAAATAATTAATGGATAATGGAATTATAACTACCTCACAGTTTTAAAATTCTTATCAGAAATGAAATAGAATAATAGCAATAAAAATAAAAAAATCTCGCAAGCATATATACTACCTGCAGGATTTATTCATCGTATAGCCATAGTTAAAACCGTCTGAATACTATATAAAACCGGGTTGCCTAATATTTATCTGAATTATGTTTTTTACTATGGAAGACATAATTTACATCTAACGATGATATGGCCCTGATCAGAGCTGAAGATCTATAGGATGACATTAATTCTACTATCACGTGAGATTTATTTTATATTATTTAGTACGAGGATACTTCCGGTTTTTTTTCGGGGGATTTTTGTAATATTGCTACATTATTTTGTTTTTCCCTTTTTCCCTCTATTTTGCCCGGTACCTATAACAATTGGATAAAGGATTCCGTTTTATACTGCACGTATAGGCAATGAGTTTTATGACCGACGGAATTGATGGAGGAAGAAGGTTTTTCTTATAGATACAAAATCCTCTAGAGAAAATTAAGTACTCTTAAAACTGTTTTTGTTGCGTATGATTATTGTGATGTATATTTATCAAGATAATTTTACTATAGATAGTCTCAAGTGTAATTTTAAGGTCTTAGAAAATAATATTACAATTTTTGCAAAATAAAACAGCTACTTTATCTTACGTCAGTTAAAGAAAATCTATTATGAGCTTAAAATGATCCAAACAATTTAAAAATACTTAGGTTAATTAATATTTTCTGTTGGATTTCTCTTTGTACCAGTTTTTTTGAAGTGTTATATACTATTCTAGAAAAGTAATTGGCATTATTAAAATTAATTATTTTAAAGTATAATTATATCTTATTTTCAGTATTATAGAAAAATGTTGAAAATCTTTTAACTTAAAAAGTGACCACATAAATAATACAAATATAATAATAAATATAACAGGACACAAAGTTACTGTGAAAGTAAAATATTTTCTTTTCTTTTCTGCATCCAAAATACGTTATAAAGTATAATATAATACCATAAAAATGAACTTGCATATAATCCATAAAAATAAAGTTCAATAGATTATTTATCGTTGTGTATAAGAATATGTAAGACTCGCTTTTATGGTTTTATTTTCACCGATTTCAGTCAACACTTTTAATAAAGCTTTTGTTGTTTTTGTTGTTGTTCGGAAAGTATTCACAAAAGACTATTTCGTATTATGTATTTCTCGATATATCAACAATCCGTCGTATTTTAAATAATTAAATATTACGTGCAACTGATTGGTTTGAAAATACGATTTGACGAGTGTTACAATAGGATCGACAGGTTTTGTGTATCATACGTGCGTAGGTTAGTGTGTGTGTATGGGTACTCGTGTACAACAAAACGTGCAGTGTTATAGTGACATTGTTAAACATGTTTCTCGTATTGTGATATCGCAACGACAAATCAAAATGATTTGCACTAAAAGCGCTGTAAACCGCTTGTAAATATAATACACTAAATTAATTTTAATGGTATGTAATTACTTGGATTTGAATTGTGCGTGATGCCTGTCTGAAGATTTTGCCTTTTCGCAGCCAAGTGTCGGACAGTCAACGTGTATGTCAATATCATCACGCCCAGAGGAATGTAAAAACTCACTATAGATCCAATCAGTTTGTACAAAGGATCTGGTATTTGACAAGAGCCGTTTACCAGCACTGAGTTAAAGTCCTGTAATGAAAATACAATTTGATCAGAAGAGAGCAACTAGACTACCATGTGTACCAGTGGTCGGCAACCTAAGTATTAGCTTGTAATCTACAGCATGCATTCATTATTATTATTATTAGATTAAGATTTTATTATTATTTTCTTTTTCTTTTTTTTTATGAAGTATAAAGAAAAAAACAATGTTTTTCATATTAGTTTTGCTCTTTAGACATCATGATTTCGAAAATTTTTAAAAAATGTCTTTCTTTCTTTAGAAAATATTAACGAAGATACATACGTACCACTGATTTTAAATAATTTATTATACCACATTGTGGTAAAATGTTACACACAGCAATATACGAGTATTTATAAAATATGTATTTCTTTTTTTTTAATTTTTTTCATACTTTAATTTTTTAACTTCTAAACGTACGGAAATATTTTATAACAAAGCAATTTATTTCATCAAAGGTTTGAGTTGTTTTTTTTTTCAAATCATAATACATGTTATGATCATTTTAACCCAATATCAAACAATATTTCTTAATTTCACGTATAACAAACTAAACAATAATTGGCAACAAAATCGTAAAAGATATATTTTGATTGAAATTTATAATTCTTAGAATTTTTTTCCTTATGTAATATAAATTATAATAACTACTTTTTTTTAAGATATAAAATTAGTTGAAAAAAAATCGGGTGAAACTCTAACATTGAGAGAGAATTCATGATCGGGCAAGATACAGGGAAGGCTGAAATGAAATTGCTGTATTGGACTTTTAAACTTGAAACCAATGTATACTATTATATATTATTCTCGAATAAACGATTCCGAATGAAAGTGGTCGGAATAAATGTGTCGGATGGATAGGTTCATATTTTAAAGATGGTTGATATTATGTTAGAATCAAATAGTAAGTTAACTATAATAAAAGGAAAGGATTTAGGTAGGTAAATAAACGACTTTAAAATGTTATGATGTCCTATAAATACCATAAATATCATTCTAACATTATAAAAATTATAAAATATTTTTAAACTGCTAATATAAGTACTCAATAAATATTTTGAGTCGTTATTTACTGAGTAAAAACCAAATAAGTAATATCAAATAATTGAAATTCGTTGAAATACCCGATTTCGTCAAAATTGTATTTTCTAACGCTAATAAAACTTGTTTGTGACTTCAGTATTAACTTGTTTTTTTTTTTTTTTTTGGTACAGCAAAACGTCATATCAGACATCTTGAATCCAATTTTAAAACCTTAAGTAGAAACATTGATTATTCTGTGAATTATAAGCTACAAAAAAATGTAACGAATTTTCATGATTTTTGTCATTTTGTCAAAATTCAAACACTCATACAATTTTTTTTTATATCATATTAAGCACATTTTCATTTTTCAATTACTTTTATAATTCATATAAAAAACTTTATGTAGCATTTTCCCGACTTTTCATCAAAATAGTCTTATCGATATTTTACAAATATAAGCTTAGTAAGCATGATATTTTCAAATATTTAAAAATATTTAATAATCACTGAAAAAAAATCTAAATGCCTTACTTAAAAAATGATATCATTTATTATATATGGTCATATAAGTGTTCAGTAAAAATGTCATGTCCCTATAGTTATTGTTAATATTATTTTTTTTTTTTGAAAATAAAAATTTTTATGAATAAATTTTGAGTTTTTCAAAAACCGGTATGTGGTAAATTAAACCGTCTTTACAATATTTTTTTTTCGTTTTTCGCAGTTTTTAAGAAAACTGTCGAGAAGTTCAAAAAATTATCACCCCTAATTACCAATTATAGACCTAATCCTATATTATAATACCATATTTGTGATGATCTAAGAAATAATACTAGTCGAAATAGAGTACATGAATAAAAAAATAAAAATAAAAATGCATATTTTATTTCACTCAGAATCTAAAAATATGTTATTTAAAGGATAATCAAGATCAGGTAGAAGTTTTTCAAATACATTAGTTTTCATTTTTACCTACAAATATATGCATATTATTTTGTGAACTTTATAACAGTGATACATTGATTCTTTATTAAAGTATTTACGTATGTTTATACTCTTATTCAAATTTGTCATGATCACATAAATTATTTGTTAAAAAAAAAAAACATTTAAAAAATAATATTGTTTCGTTTGTCTCCATTTTTCAAGAAAAAAATGAACTTGGCCGTCTCATAAATATTGATAATTTATAAACGAGAAAAATATAGTAGTACAAATGTTTCAAAATAGAACTTATAGCTGTCACAATATTCATCATAATTATAAATGAAGACGATCAAGCGAAATGTACTGGACCCCGAACATAAAACTTATCTAGGTATGATAATTAATTAGTTAAAATAATTATACTCCAATACAATTAAATATGGATTATTTGAAATTTCTATTGTACATTGCTGGACCTTACAATTTCTAAGTTTTCGTCAGGGTCATCTCCAGGGGAGGAGGTCGTGATGACGGATAGTTAACAATTCATATATTTAACTCGATACCTATGTTAAAAGTTAATGAAAAAAAATAAATATTAACTTAAATCTGTTTAAAAAAGTTAATTTACATTTTTTATATAGTATGTAGATCACATAAAAAGCGACTGCGTTCTTTAAAAATATCTGATTTCCTTAATTATAATACATAATTTTATTGAATTTTTTATCTTACTATACAGCAGTAACATGAAAAATACTATAACATTGTATGTTATAGTAGTAGCCTTGCATATAATAGAAACATTTCTTACCAGGCTCCACCATAAATAATTGAGTTGGTACTAGTTATCAATTTTTTAGTTTAATACGTTATCGTACTACTTAATTTAAATTAATCATAACATATCAATGCTAAGATACTCGTATGATATTAAACGAAACAAGTTAATAATTGTACATAAACATGTATATAATAAATAATATAATAGAAGAATATTATCTTACAGGTTTAAGCGTTTTCCTAATTTTTTTCGTATCAAGACAGATTTGTAATCATTACAAAAAACAAACAGTTATTTTATAATGCACATAAATATTATACTTGAATAAATGTGAATAATAAACGGAATAAAATTCCTACTCCGAGAATAAAATGTCATCAAAAATCGCTTGTCGGTAGACTTTTTGTCAAAAAAACTAAAAGTGAAAATTGATGTTTTTATAAATAAAAAATTAAAAAAATCACGAATTACCATTTCCAAGGAACATTAACGCATTATGTCTGATAATAAAATGTAATATCTCATACGTTAACAGCAAAACGGATTATAATAAAATGCAGAAAATACGCTGACTACGTACGAGTATAAAGGTACTACAAACGTCAAACACACCAGTACGAGGCCCTCTTATAACCAGTGGAAAAAAAAAAAAATAATAATAATAATAATAATAATAATAACACCATAATATACGAATTCCTTAATATGACAAGCTTAATGTGTCATATATCATAGTAGAACGAAAAAGGAAAAGAAAAAAAGTAGCTCCCCGTATAAGTGTTAACGTGATATGGTCTCTCTAACTACATGGATTAATAAAATAATGATAGAAAACCGCATAAGTTACAATATTATATCATAATATAATATATATATATATATATATGTGTGTGTGTGTGTGTGTGTGTGTGTTACGCGACGGAGTTGTAAATATGTAAAATATACGAGACGAATTGAAACGTTGAAACGTTGATATATCTCGAAAAAATGTAGATATTACAAGAAAACGTTCTATCATTTTCCTCGATTCGCTGACAACTTTTAAATAATTCATATTTTCCGAAGTGCGCGCGGCGAAGGCAACGAGCCGAGAGAATTGTTTATTTATAATGTTGTCGGATTCCAATACGAATATCGCACGGAGCTTAGGGTTCAAGTGATCGCGCGGCAGAGACAATAATTAATCACGCGATTGCAGTGATTGCGCGCACGTTGCAAATCATAGTTTGTATTTTAAATAATACACATACATCCGAATCACAATGGCACCGTTGCCGGGGCCGAGAAATTGATCGAAAACGTCTATTTCCCACCGTAAACAACTATTGTGCACCGCGTGTGATACACGGATCCCACCAGACGCTTTCTCGAAAACGGCAATCGTACGGTGTAATATTACCATTCGTGTAGCGCAGTGACCGTCGATGGGAATCGATTGAACCACTGCGCCGTCCGCACGGTAAAACAATGATGTCATCGGTAGTGCTGTACCGGTAAAGCGGGTTCCGTCGGTACGGACCGATCGTTGAAATCATCGAAAACCGTACTAGCAGTAGACGACGTTCGCAGCGCCTCCGCGTTCGGTTCGGTTTCCGTGAAAATCCAATAAAGCTCCTCTGCCCCGAAGGCAGTTAAAAACGAATTTCCGCGCTATTGTGTGCGGTTCGCAGTGGTTGTGTCCGAGCAAACACAAACAGTGCATAACACGAACAATAGGTCTGTCGCGCTCAAAATTCAGTATCTTACATTAGTGCGCCGTTGTCGTACGTGAGACACTATAATAATTGTCTCCGGGAAAGAAAAAATATATTTATATAATTACTGCGGACCCCTATAAATGTGAACCATAACTGGATTACCGGAGTACAAAATAAATCCCACTCGATCACCAAAAGCAAACCGTATACGATGGTATAACGAGAGTGATGCACTCGTGCAATATATTTCTTAACGGTATTTAGCGATATACTTAGTACGACGGGAAAGGGAACGATAGCGTAACAATAATAATAATAATAATAATTATGTAGTACAGTAGTTTGATCACGTATAATTTGTCGCATTACACGTGCGCGGCGTACACGACCAATGGACCGTAATAGCGTTTCCAGATGAACGCGAACACTGTTATCCGATAAGGGTTGCGTTGCGCCGTAATAAAGACGGAATGTTATGAGAAAAAAAAAAACCGAAAACGGTAAACGTTTTACTCCTCCGAAACGACGACCATTTATTACGGCAAACTTTTATCGGAGTTATGAAGTACTG